CTGCAGCGTCCTGCACTATAGGCACGTCATTTTTAACCGGAGACGGAGTGGCAATGATGGGGCTGAAAGCTGGTGTGTTGGTTGGCATGACAACACTCCGAGTGGCTCCAAGAGAGGCGCTGAGCAGAGAGTATGAGACACAGGTTGGAGAGAGGAGGTATGGGAGTGAGGGAAGAGGAGGACGCAGGAGGGTTGGGGGGAAAGAAGGAGGCTGGGACTGGAGTGGAGCCTGAGGTAAAGGTGGAGGAGGAAGTGGAGGAGGAGGTGGTGGTGGTGCAGATTGAGAGGTGGGGGGAGTGTCAGCAGAGGTAATGGGAGTAGGAGCAGGGACCTGAGAACCTGGTCCTACAGACATGCCAAGGAAAGTAGAGGAGAGTGGTGGAGAAGAGGAAAGGAAGGGTGTGGTCGAGACATTCAGACAGGTGCATACATATACACACACACACACACACACACACACACACACACACACACACACACACACACACACACAGGGATGGGAGGTAGAAAAGGAAGAGATCAAATAATGAAATACCAAAAGCCAAATGGTGACAGAAAAAAATCAAACAGCCAAAAGCAACAGTGATGAGAATGAAAGATAAATATTTTTCGAACCAAACGGTGAAAACATGTAAATCATTCAAATGCAGGAAAGGCTAGAATCGAACAGCGAAAGCCCAGATTTAAGCCCAGAGATGTGTACTCTCTCAGGTTGACATGGTGTAGGTGGATATTATGAGTCTGTGGTGCCTCAGTTAAGTTGCCACAGGCATGGCATTAATGTGAGGAGGAGTGTGTTTGTGTGTGGACGACTATATGATGAATTTACTGCTCCATAATTTGATAAGTGTCATTACTGCTGGTAAACACCGGCTGCCTCGGATGCTTCATGAACAAGTTGTTACGTTTATAATTGGCAATGGAAAAGTACAGCAGAGGCAGCTATTTTTAATTGATGCCTCTTGTTTAGGGGCATAAACCCCAGAGGATCTGAACACACAGTGATCCTGTGACGCCTGTATGGTACAGCTGATTAACCAACATTCATACATTTGAACATTTTATTCCACTAGCTAATGACTGCCATCTTGAGCCTTCTATTGATTTCAGTTCACTTGAATCACACTTTCTCTTTAATGGAACCTAAGATGAAATATTCGTGATGGTAATGGAAAGTGATGATGATTGATGATGATGGAGAAAAGTCCTCACCTGCAGGGGAGCTGTCATTGCCCACAGGAGTGCTGGTGCAGCTGCGGTCCTGGTTGGACGACTCGGACGAGAGGCCCAGTGGACTTCCTCCACCCATGTAGTCCATGTAGTCATCGTTGTCATCCCCCATGTTGGAGAAGCTTTGAGACAGGCTCGAGTGCATGCCCATGGTGCCGGAAGAGGCCATGTTAGCCATGTGCATCTCATCTGCTTGGTGACCAGGAGGCATCACCTAGCACACAGGAAACACAAATCAGTCCACAAACCAAAGGCTAAACAATTCCTATTATACGATTAGCAACGATTTGCATCACAGTCAACTTATTTGTGCTCCTTATTTGTGCTTATGCAAAACAACGGCGTCGCTTGCTACCTGGGTGGTTCCAAATTTTTCAGCTGCGATTTAGCACTTAAAAATGAAACTTTAAAACTTTTTCAACATTCGATCTATGAAAACACGTTTAACCATGTTAAAAACGTGCAACGATATTTAAGCTTTAAGCATAGAATTAGAAAAAACACGAATGGCATGAGGACATAAAGGATATTGTAATGATTTACTTAAAATAATTTTTCTAATTACTTTCGAGCTATAATTTAAGAACAAGGGGTTGTGAAATATATACTTTATATAATATAAATGGTAAATGTGCACTTATATAGCGCTTTTATCCTTTTATAATATACTATATATAATATATATGTGTATTTCTATTGGGCAGGGACGGTTAAAAATGCTGCAGAAATGATGCTGATGTTTTGATGTCGTCCCTGGTTACTTTGTTCAGGTGGACAGTCATCGCATCCATACCCTGGTATACATAACCGACCTGGGACGGGACTCGGTCGAAGTTCTTTCCCAGCATCCTCCTCATGTGCTTGCGGGCGTGAGACGTCATCTGGTGCTTAAGCAGGAAGGAGAACATGCAGCCTTCCCGGATGCAGTGGAAGTGGCTGTTCACCTGGTTGTACTTGCAGCCTACGAAGATAAAAACAGAAGGCGTTTCTTATTAATACCGAAAAAGCAACAAAGGGCCGACCTCCTCGACGCCGAATCCAGCACTGGATTCTCAATAAGATGCTGTGGTGATGAGGAAAAGCCTGAGCAGATGAGTCCGGCTCTTATTACTTTCTCCAAAGTGTCACACTGAGAAAGTGGAGCTTTCGGAGATTAGACCTGTGGTGCTCTTTATTACAATGACATCTTTTATTCAATTTGGAATTTACATAAATACATTCTGCATTTGGAGAGGCAATAATGCACAACCCTGCAAACCAAAGTAAACACACAATTATTTCCATATTAAATTCATTTTTCACAACCTATCTTCTGTTATTGTATTTGTTCGGTCCATCGCTCTTTTCCTGTTTTCTACACACTCCTCCCTTCATACGGTAACCCTGCAGATTTTTAATTGCTATATGCTTCTTCTTGTTGTTTTTTTTTTTTAATTAAATGACTGCTTTTTTATGGGCTAATCAAATGGACGCTTGTGATAATTTTATTGCAAATAATGCACAGAAAAAATAATCAAAAGCGGAGCGTTCAGGGCAGGTGCCGGCTGGTCTGTTACCATGGCATCCTTGGCACGGCAGGGTGCAACAAGCTGCTTGTCGTCAGATCGCTTTTGTACGCACGCACGGGCAAGACACTTTAAACAGAGCGAGCTGAGCAAATAAGAATGACAAGCCGAAATGTTGCAGATCTTTGTGCCTGCGCTTCCTGGTAACCTCATCCTCAGTGGTGTGTTTAATGTTGCTGCCATGGATACCCTGCTCCCAGTCCAGCTGAACCATCAATTCCTCATCATCCTGCTGCTTGCTTTGGTAACGTGGTTTTTTTTTTTTTTGAGGTGCTACAAATCTGAAGAGTTGTGCTTTTTGACACTTTGTTTCCACCCTGTCATAAACTTTTTCTTTTTCTCTTCTGCACAGAAGGGGAGGAGAGAGAATGGGAGGGGGGAAAAAAAGCTTTCAATTTGCCCGTGTGATGATGATCGAGGTTTGAAAAAGAGCAACACAAACAGACCGAGCTAGACAGGCACAGTAATTAACAAACATGTGTAATTGCTCATTCCTGACAGGTTAAATATACCCAAGAAAACAGCCTCTGTTTGATTGCTTACTATAAATACTGAAGTATTAATGTATGACAAAAAAGGCAGACACCATTTTTCTTGGGCTGATTTTAATCTAAATGAACCGTCCCCCAGCTTTAGAACATGTATTTATTTATTTATTTTTTTAAAATACGTGATTCGAACTATTTGTTATGAAACGTATATATATCTATATCTGACATATTTGATGGAATTTCGACTTTATTAAATATTTAGTGCAAAATGTCCAGCATCAGGACGCTAATACTAACATGATGAGACACGGATAGTACCAGGAAACCTTTTACAGAATCCTGCTTGCTGCTTTTGTGCGTTCAGAGCGGAGGAGTGTATTGATCGCTGATGTGATTTCACACCTTTTCTCCTCTGTTCTGATCTGCCGGTGTAGAAAGCAGGGCTTCGACTAAACAAGACCGCCAGGAAACACTGGCTTTCAATAGTAATAATAGCATGACTGAAATAATGAGGTGTGTAGGAAGTCTGTACACCACAATGGAAGATACACACTTGATCAATACTAAACACGGCAAATTACAATATCTACGATCTGCTGCGTCGGAGCCGAGAGCCTTACCGAGGCGGCCGCACTCCTCTCTCTTGGTAAAGTATTTGAAGCCGTTGGCCGCACGTCGCTCGGCTTTTTCGTGCTTCTTGACGTGCCACGGCAGCTTGGTGGTGATGTTGGTGACAAAGAAGCAGCCTGGTCTCAGACAATGATAGTGTCCTCTCATCCTGAACTCACAGTGCTGGGAGACAAGACAGACATATCACCAATGAGCAGAGTTTTAACAACCAATCATTTGTTAAACCTGTTAAAGCTCTTTATTTCACCAGTCAAATTGGTCAGTAGGTGTTGATTAATCTTCTATAACAGCAGCTCTGACAGTAGTTCCAGCTGCAAGGCAAATTACAGGGACTTGTATGGCGGACACAACCCATTTAACCAAAACTTAGGGCTGGGCGATATGACAAAAATATCATATCACGATACTTGAGGACATTTCTACGCTACACGATGCGCATCACGAGCCGCTAGCTTGTTGCGTCGAATCAACGGCACTCATTCAGTACCGTTTCCGTTTGTTATTATTAAAAACCTCAAAATGAGGTCATCATACTAATGATATTTCAGAAAACTGTATATAATTTATCACAATATAGATATTATATTGATGTATCACCCAGCCCTACAAAGACTAATGATAAACCATCTTAAATGTTTTTTTTTGTTTTTTGTTTTTTTTTGCTTGTTTGTTTTTTACGTGTTGTTATCTACCAAAGAACAACACAACATTGATTTTGTGAAGTTTTCTGTAAGGAGACGTTCAGATAACATTTATGGAAGGAGTCTCCGGTGTCAGCACTGGTGAAGGAAAAACTGTTTATAGTTTTTATAATGTAAGTGATAGAAGGAACTTGTTTCATAGATGTTCTAGAACATTAATTGTCAATATAACTGATCAAAGAAAAAAGTGACCATTCTTTAATGTTAATTGTAATTGTTGGCAAATTGTTTGAAGTATAAAAGGAATAGAACACTTTGCTGTTTTAGGAAAATAATCAACTTTGGGGTTGTAACAGTTGTTTACATTTCATTACATTACATTAGGATATAACTAAGCAGCTGAAGGTTAAGGTTATTACTCAAGGGCTGAATGGTGTGAGCTTTGTGGTGGTAGGATTTGAACTCATGTCCTTCAGATCAGCAGCCTGATGCCCCAACCACTGAGCTACCACTGCTGTTCCTGATGTTTTGCTGGGCCACCCGATTTAGTTTTATCCCCTTAATTATTCCGTTAATTAGCTCCTTCCCGTTTCTCAGTTTCAGGGTGCACTACAGCAGACGTTTAACTGACCAGCTCTGTCGGAATGTTAAGCACTGAGCCCACTAAAGATCACTGGAGCAAATCGAAGCCTATGTTTTATACGACTAGCTCACTGAGGTAAGAGCATTTCCCTCCTGTGTTGTAACCTGTTTCCAAACCACCATCTGTTTACTGAGAGGCATCTCCCTCAGGAGACGACAAACAGGATCTCCTCTGCTCGGGAGAGGGGGGTGGAGGTTTAGGAGAGTGGGGACTTGGTGCATAAATGAATTCATTTAGAACAGGTTTAGCTCCAAATAAGGGCACAGGAAGCACAATGACTGCTTTGTTCTATTAATAATGACATTTTTGATGAAAAGCCTACACTTCTCTTTCCCACTTCTCACTTTGGGGGTATTTACGTATTTTTTTTCATCTTAATTCTTTTACCATGTGGTAATGAGATTGAATGAATAAAATCTCGTTTTAATTATAAGTAAACATCTGTTTGCTTTGCTTCTTTTTTTTTCACGGTCATCTTGCATGCATTAACTTTGATTTCTGTTGTAGCCGTACGAAGCAAGAGTTCTCAGCTGACCTGGTTGGGACAGAGACACTGTAGCGAGTAGTAAGAGAACTGATCTCGCACGTTGACCAAGCTGTTGTTGGGGTTGATGTGGTCCAGGCAATGTGACTCTGCCTTTCCAGACGTCTTACACACGTACTTGCAGTTGCCAAACAGACAGTGGAAGTGGAATTTGTTGGAGTATTTGCAATCAGTTGCCAGACAGGGGTCACTGGGGGAAAGGACACAAGGCAAAAACCAAAGAGAGTTAATAACATGCTCATTATATTCTCCTATATATGTAACAGTTCTATCGTTCACACTTTAAAGCACTCACTTGTCTTGAAACTGCAGGAAGCCTGGTTTGACCTGAGGCTTAGCGTTCTCCAGTGAAGTGGTAGCAAGCGGCGAGGAGGCGGCCATGTTGGGCACAGAGGCAGGAAGTGGGGGGATGGAGCCCGTCAGCTGCTTCCATGCCAACAGGGAGGGTGAAGAGGCATAGGCCCCTGACACTGCTGCACTGGGCACGTCCATGGGCGGAGTGTTGGGCACAGAGACGGGCACAGCGAGCTGATTGGGGACGCCCTCGCTGGACTCCTTGGCCTCGTTGAAAGCGGTCTCCGGTTTAACCTTTAGGTTGGCTCTGAAGTGGAAGCTAATGGGAGACAGAGAGACATCATTACATCCAATTAGATCCACCGGCGAGGCCGTGATATAGCTGCTAAACATAGCACATCATTAACATCACCTCCAAATAATGACGTAAATAGGGGAGAGAGAGCATTCAGAAGAGCTCGAATCTCAATCTATTGCTCATTAAGAGTGTGGATGAGAATGAAAAGCAGGCTTACTTTGCGTGTTTGATGGCTCCGTCCACTGTACTGAAGAGCGCGCCGCAGTCCTCCACAAGACAGTGAAAGTGGACTTTGTGCAGGAAGTCACACTGGGCATCACAGATTTCATCAATATCATATCTACATATGAAAGAAAACATGAGGTGTAAAAAAAAAGAAAAGGGACAACATAACATAACACAAGCAAAACCGTTATCAAGACGAATTCTCCCTTCACCAGGACCTGCTTTTGTACGTACGGCTTGAAAAACATGATAACGCTTTTCACAGAAGCAGCTGTGACGTATTGTCTTGGCGTTGGAACTGTACACATAATATCATTTGTCCTGGCCAAGTGTTTTATTTCTACATCGCTAACCAGGGACAAACACCGCACATGGCAGTGACGGGATAAAAGCAGACAAAGAGCGAGAATGACAAAGCACAGGGTCAGGGTTAAGTAAAAACAGGAATCACAAAGGCAGGGAAGAATAATGGACTGTAACACAGCAGGATATTGTGAGCCAAGAATCAGGAGAACGACTGTGTCAGGAAAAGTGGACAAGATTATGGGCAGTGTAATGCATGTGTACCGCACCTGCGCAGGTAGGTCTTCCACTCGGTTGGTTTCTCCAGAACAGGTCTTTTGACCAGCCTGCTGAGGTACTGAGCCGCGTCAGAGCTATCAGCTGCCTGGCCGCTCTCCAGCTCCGACTTCAAGTTCAGAGCGCTGAAGAAGCCCGGATTCACCTGCGACATCTGCGCACACAGTGAACACACCTTCACACACTGGTACACGTGAGCAAGCATGCTCAGACAAGTGCTATTATGCTCGGTTTACAAACACAATCAGCCTCCTACTTGAGCGCAGGCCAACACACATGCCAAGTGTTCTTTGTCTGCGTGTGTGTTTGTGTGCGTTCGTGTGTGTGTGTGTGTCGGTCTGGGCGAGCTTTATGCGGTGTGCCGAGTCCGAAAGGGAGTCCTAAAGACGCCCACGAGGTGCTCTGTGCCAGAAGCCCAGAATGAGGCATGGGTGGGGCTGGAGGGTCCGATACCTCCTTAAATCATCAAGGTAATGGAACTCACACTCCATAGCATTTATATTAGTCAGAAAAGATGTATGATTAAAACAATGTCCATTTTAATCTCCACAAAAACACACAACATTTAAATATTCACCCAGTAACACTTAGTCTTTTTAATAAATGAGGGTGACGCTTGCTCCCCCCCTCACTGCTGACTTTTTAATCAAATAATTTACAAACTCCATAAATAAAGACAGAGCGGCTGGAATAGAAAAGAGAGAGAGACAGAGAGAGGGAGGAGGAGGGGAAAAAAATGTGCCCCAAGTTCAAAACAGCTCATCAAAAAACAAACATCTCTATATATCTGGCATGGCATCCAGCTCTTGCTTCATTATATTAATTTGTGAGCGGAGGGCTGAAATTACACTGTATGAAAAATGGCTGGAAAATTTAAATGATACAAACTCATCTTATTAGCGGGCGAAACATTAAAAAACAAACAGCCCGCTCTGCGTGTTGCTAATTCGTCTTGGGCTGGAAAGTGCATGATGGATGGATCTTACCTTATTCATAAGTGAGGATAAAAGAGATTGATTCCCCGGCACAGGGTGTCCGTTTGATTCATTACTGGAATGAGCAAAATGGGCAATGTTTAGGCAAAGATTTGCATGGGAACAGTAAATATTATTCTTTATTTCTGACTGTGTGAATATGCAATGAAGGAAATAGACACATAAATAAGATGTAACTTGATGTATAAAGCTGAGTGGTATTGTTGGTGGGTGGAGTAAATGTGTGTGTGGGTGGGTGGGTGGATGGGTTTACACAAATGCCCTTTCATTTAAATGAACATGTCATGTTTCGAACTTGACATGTGCATTATAAAATTGAGAAGAAGAAGAAGAAGAAAAAAATCTTATGGGGAAATCTTCACATTTGTGTGATAGATTTCCACACAGGGGGCACTTGAGTCTGAGAAAGGGGCTGGTGTGTAAATCTCCTCCTTGACCACTTTGCAGGCCCACCTTGTGAGGTAGTTTTAACAAGAGCACTCAAACTAATTAACACAATACACTATTATTCAGGAGATAAATCACGAGTCTGTGGATGATGAGTGCGGTGTGGGGCGTGCGGGAATGGGGATTGGTCATACCCGTGGTCTTTCTTGCTCAGGTCAAGGCTGTGTTCTTGCATGGACTCCTGGGAAGGCCCAGAGGTGCTGTCCATTGGCTCCTGCTTCACTTGAACCGGATTAAACCGGCTTGTCTGAGCCTGCTGTCCGTTTCCTGAGGAGACAGAGAGACAGAGAGAGAGAGAGAGAAGTTATTGTTGGTCAGCATTATTACCCTGTGATGAGATCCGATCTGACTTGTGTCTAGGCCGAGGAGAGGGCTGGCAGTGATAATTATTGCAGAATTATGTCAAGCCGTCAAGGCATTTAAATGGTGATTGAGAGGCGGGAGGAATGAGGGAAAAAGACTCTTTTTTCAGCAGCACTTGTCACAACCCATTTGCGTGCCTGCCTCTTAACCGGTCATTACAGTGCACGCTAATGCTGAGGGAAAGTGGCAGCTTCAGATGGAGCGAATCCCCACTCCCCCTACCTCCTCCACCTCCTTCCTCTCATCGCCACTTGTCCTTGTTGGCCTGACGACGGACGGTGGTCAGTCACTGAGCATGCCCAAAAGAAACATCTCCTCCGTCAGTTAGATTGGAGGTGACAGTCAATCGGTGACAGCCAATCAAATTAGTCAGATAATTCAGACAGTGAACCTCTTGGTTGAGGTTTTTATTTTTTTCTGCACAAAAAGATATAGAATGGTGTAAAAAAGTGACCTGGCTCTTCCCCAATCCCCATGTGACTGAAATATTCATTTGTCCTTAGGCTATGCAGTGAAAGCCGGGCCTTTGGTGGCCTCTAAGTGGTATTTTATTTTGGGAAAAGAAAAGGAGAGGAATATAGAAGTGCTGAGTACATCAGCTGTGATTGGTTTTGTGGAGAACTTGCTTTTCAGGAAGTCAGGCTTGTTGAGGAATAGTGACAGGCAAGGACGTGGCATTACTGTCTGCCCTTGGCCCTCATTGCCGTGTGTGAGTGAATATAAACCACTATAACACACACACTTAGTGATTGCAAATCATCATTGTCATTTACAGCTGTTTACATTAGTCAGTAAAAGTGAACAGGTAAATTATGACTCATTCGGAGGAACTTCCACAACTACTAATGTGAAATCCCCATTTCACTAACAGCACCCGCTTCTCCAAAAAACCCAAAAAACCCTGTCTAGTTATCTGTTAAACTAGCACACAACTAACACACAACCAATCATCGCCAGGTTAACCTCTGTCTCCTCTCTGATCACACTCACACACACACACACACACACACACACACACATCAAACCACAGCCTGCACACTCGCTCTGCTTTAGGCTGCCTGTGGGAATGAATTGCCTGAAGTTGAAAAAAAGACAGTTAAATAATGACCACATGAAAGGGAAGTCAT